GTCTTTAAACTAAACAAGCCCAACCAAATCCATAATGTTTCAAAATCATTTAACATCTATTATCAAAACGCTAGAGGACTAAGATCTAAAACTCATATGTTTTATACAAGTTGTTGTCAATTATCTTATGATATTATAATTATAACAGAGTCTTGGCTGAATGATTCGGTAAAATGTGCGGAGCTCTTTCCACCCTCATATGGTGTAATTAGATGTGACAGGAACTTATCATCTGTTCACAAGTCTGATGGGGGTGGTGTCCTTGTTGGTCTTCGTGAACATATTAAGTATGAGTCTCTAGATGTTACTTATATCTTAAAATTGATCCCGTTGGTTGATTTGGTTGTTTGCAAATGTACTATGGACAATTTTTCCTTTTTCCTAGTATCAGTTTATATCCCTCCGGATTTGTCTGTTAATGACAGCGAACTACTTTTTGAACATTTGGAAATATTACTTGTCAATAAGCCTGTTCTAATAATTGGTGACTTTAATGTCCCTGAATTTGCTGCAAAATCATCATCTCCTAAAGCTATACTACTTACTCATTTCTGTAATACACTAGAATTAATTCAATCCAACAAAATCTTAAACTCGCATGATAAATTACTTGACTTACTATTGTCAAACATTCCTCTACTGATTGAAGTAAACAAAGATCAACAACCGTTTGTTCCGGAAGATTTGTATCATCACGCCTTAGCTATTGATATTGAAGTATTTTCTCCACAGAAATTTACTACCTTTCCTCTATCTCAAGACGGTAAACTTAATTTTCGAAAAGCTAATTTTGTCAAATTATATAATGATTTAATAAATGTAGATTGGAGTGTTTTAGAAAAATTTTCTGAGGTAAATCTTGCCACTCAAGAATTTTACAAAATCTTGAACTCTGTACTTGAGCATTCGGTTCCATATCATAGAAGTTCTAAATTATTATATCCCCCATGGTTTACAAAGGAAATCAAACAATATCTAAAACTTAAACTATATTACAGACGAAAGTGGAGAGATACAAAAGATATTTATTTTCTTAATGAATTTAAGAGACTTCGTTTGCTAACTAAATCGCTGATTTCGTCAGCCTATAAATCTTACATGCAAGAAACGGAAGACTCGATTAAGAAAAATCCAAAGAAAATTTTTGACTTCATCCGTATCAAACAAGGCTACACCAGAATTCCTGGATCTATGTTTAAAAATAACGTTTGCTATGATACTCCCTTAGAGATAGTGAATGCGTTTGCCGATCATTTCTCTAGTATTTATCTTCAGAATACTAGTGTGGCTGAAGATCTTGTTTCTTATTGTCCACCTTTTAATTTACAAATGGTTACAGAACAGCTTATCTTGGATATCTTGTCAAGTCTTCCTAATAAAAACACCGCAGGTGATGATCAAATACCGAGTTTCTTATTGCGTGATGCCAGATATGTGTTAGCATACCCTCTTACTGTCATTATTAATTTATCAGTTGCTACAGGAACTTTTCCTGAAATATGGAAGCATACGCGTATTACACCTGTTCACAAAAAAGGTGACATAACTCACATACAGAATTATCGTCCTATTTCTACACTTTCTAACTTTGCTAAAGTTTTTGAAAGAGTAATCTACACAGCTTTATGTAAGAATACCCGGTCATATCTGTCGCCTGATCAGCATGGTTTCCTGTCGGGTAGATCCACTATTACAAATCTCACAACAATTACCCAATTTATATCTCAGGAACTTGATAAAAAAGGTCAAGTAGATGTTGTGTATACTGACTTTTCAAGTGCCTTTGATACCGTTGATCATGGTATCTTACTCAATAAGCTCTCTTCTTTTGGCATGGCCCCACGATTTTTGAAATTAATTCAATCTTACCTAAGCAACAGAGTTAATTATGTGTTATACAATGGGTATAAATCAAATCCGTATACAGCATCATCTGGTGTACCTCAGGGTTCCAACTTGGGACCCCTACTATTTATTATTTTTATTAATGATCTTCTCACGTCACTTACTTGTAAGAAACTAGCCTACGCTGATGATCTAAAAATTTATACAACAATTGCTGGTCGTGATGATGTAGAGCATTTGCAGTACAATCTTGACTTGATTCGTGAGTGGTGTTTACTAAATCGTCTAAATTTAAATATTGATAAATGTTTTATGTAACGTTTACAAGAAAAATCTATAATTTTCCTACACACTACACGATAAACGGTCTAAGTCTGTTAAAAATGAATAAAGTTAAAGATCTTGGCATTTTATTTGACTCCGAAGTTAGTTTTGTCGAACATATTGAAAATCTGGCGCTTTCTGCTTTTAAATCCTTGGGTTTTTTGATGCGTGTGTCCAGGTACTTTGATAATCCACAGTTGATTAAATCGCTCTACTTTGCGTTCATTGTGAGCAAACTGGAGTATGCCTCAGTGGTTTGGTCGCCGTGTTATCTGCGGCATGAACTTATTCTTGAGAGGGTGCAACGTCGGCTTATGAAGTTCCTAAGTTTTAAAATCTCTGGTACTTATCCTGTTCGCAATATTGACTACAACTATTTATTGCAAACTCACGAATTACAATCACTCTCTGCCAGACGTAAGATTCATGGTGCTCGTTTTATGTGGAAATTGATACACAACAAACTGGATAGTTCTCAGCTTCTGGAATATGTCAACTTTCATGTGCCTCGGTTAAGTGCTAGATATGCTTGTACTTTCGTGCTATCTCAGTCTAGAACGAATTTGTTAAAGAATTCTCCAATGGTTAGAGTATCTAGACAGGCCAATGAACTGTATAGCGATATTTTTATATAATTAGGTTATTAAAATGTGTATGGATACTTAAGTTTATGTTTTTTAGGTTTTTTTTTCCTTGTATCAATTAGTAATACTTTTATTGTATATAATTGCCCGCTAACTGGGTTACCGTTGGGCAAATAAATTATTATTATTATAACCTTAAAACGTCTGCAAGAATTTAAAACATTCGGTTTTGCAGTTTCTGATTTAATCAATGAAATGAATCTTTTGTACAATAATTATTAGCACAGTAAAGTGAAGTGAAGTGAAAACAATACAGATAATACTAGTCATAGTGTAAGAAAAAAAAATGCCGCTTAGGTAATTGAACTCACAACCTTCACCTTGTGAACACGACACGCTAACGATCCGCCGCCCGGCGGATTCATAAACCACAAGTACAGGAATAGGTAGAAAATCGCACGATATTCCTAACAACAATCGCTTAATAATTTTCAGAGATTATTTGTATAATAAAAATCTACATAGACACACCGCAAACAGATAGACGGAAACGGAAGACCTAACTTGAACTATTAAGTTAATTTTTGAGTTAATTCTGATTATATTAGGTGTTGCAAGGACAAATTTTTAATTATGACAGCGCAGTCCATATATTTTAGAATATTTCAATGTGTTATACTCAAACCAACAATTCGTCTAATAATGTTGTTTAGACAGAACTTCTCTCTCACCTAAAGTCAAACATTCAAACAATTTCAATGTCTTAAGTAGAAAGAAAATGTTGACGATGATGGGATTCCAGCTCACGCAGGCAGAACTCAAGTCCAACGCTTCAACCACGAGGTTGTTACGAGCACGAGACAGATATCGGAAAAGTAAAACACGTGCCAAATATTGCACACAGTTTTTTATAAAGTAAATAATCGTAATAAAAATTAAAGCGGAATAATAAACCAGAAGCACATGAATATACTTCTTTAAAAAATTTAAATAGCATTTACCACGTAAAATTTTAAGATGACGTCATCAAATTGTTGGTGGAGATGATTAGACAAATTTTAATTAGTGTTTTACCATCTACACCATATCACTAACATACTTACTCGTACATATAAAATTTGACAACAATCGGCCTAGTAATTTCGGAAATTATCTACAAGACAGACGACAGACAGATGGAAACGGGGGACCTATTTTTTTATATCCTAGGTGTCATGAAACGTAGAGAAAACATGAAAGTAGGCATACGTCGGATGCACCCTATTACAATATACTTCTTTAGCTTACGCTTGGGAGGTAAAAATGGCATATTTTAAAAAGCTGGGTCCATCTTAATTTCAAACTTTATATTTAAATTGTAAAATTCACTGGTCCATGTTTTTAGGGTGGCAGTTTGTACAATTTTATAACAAAAAATATTTTTATGTTAGTTTGAGATTGATATATAGCATGAGCGGCTTTACAGTTTGTTTAATAAAAAATTGACGCTCATTCTGCCATAATTTTTAATTTACTAATATATTTTTTTATATAACTAAATATATACTGTATAATAACATATAGCTTCTCCTTGTAAATAATGAAAAAATACCCTTGGCAGTTGCCCTTGGGAAATGTCACAGAGTAACTATAGATTTTCAATTACAAACGTGGATTTTGTCATTTATTTTAGTAATTTTTCAGTTGCTTGATATCCTGATGTATCAAATTACGTTGAGGTTAGCAAAATGCAAAATAAAAGATACTACGTAAAATCTAACATTTCTAAATAAAACTTTATATAGAAATAAGTTCACAACCGATTTTAAAGTTCGAAGATATGATATGTAGAGAACTTTCAAAATCACATATATTTAATAAATTATGATACTGGATAATCTGCTTATACTTACTCAGCCAGTATTTAAAAATGATCGCTATTGTTTAGTCTGAATAAGGAGAAAAATCTACAAGAAGTTCGTTTTTTCCTCCTGTTTTCCAGATTTTACGAGATCGCACGAAGAAAAACTCATATAGGATCTCCCTTTGCAGAGGTTGCTAAAATTAGAAGTTTATGTGGCAATTATTTTCAGGATTGTGTTCCTATAGGTTTCCGTAACATTCTATTTAATTATTTTTTTCACTACGATAAAGTGTAAAATATGTTCTTGTTCACAATGTTGCACACCCCTTTTTGCACCTTAGGCGTTTGCTTCCTTTAGTCTGAAACCGACGACAGCTATACTTATTCTAACAATTTTCTTTCAGGCGAAGTCGGCAAAGAAATGTACATAGTGAACCGAGGTCGCCTGCAAGTAGTCGCCGATAATGGTAGAACGGTACTGGCAACATTAAAAGCAGGAAGTTATTTTGGGGAAATATCTATACTGAATATGGGCACGGCAGGTAAACACCTTGGTAAATATCAGCAGGCAGGCCCAAAATAATTGAGGGTGCAGTACTTCAACCTCTGCATGAAATGAAATATGACATCCTGCCCGGCTTGTATTTGTCCACCCTTGCAAATTATTTTCTAAGTAGTGAAAAAACTGATTTAAAGGAGAACTCTTAAATGCATCTCGCTACACAAAAAGATATAATACGAGCTGTTTCGCATCACTTGTTTTATGACAGTCTGGCCCGGTTTTTCCTCGGGCAGAACATAACATCGGAAAAATAAAAGATGGCGTAGCATTTTATTGAATGGACATCACGGAAACCAGGGAAATTAAATAAGCACAAAGAAACGCATTTAAGAGTTCTTCCTTCATCTAATTTATTCGATTAAAAATAATTTTAACATTTTAAATATGAAATAAACTGCCAACAAGCACGTTCATTTAAAAATGAAATTTAATAATTAAATGTATTCCGTAAAACTGTGTTAATAATTCTTACACACTTAACTTATGTGTTGTGTATACGCGTAGTTTTTGTACTTGTTTATATTAAACGCTTTGCTCGTTAATCCTGATCTGTCCATTTTTTAAACATCAAGAATACACTTTTTTAATAAATAATGAATTAATAATGTTCATGGAAATATATACACATTTTAAAGACTCGGTATTTATCACTGATCCACATTTTCCCGCGGAATGGGACTATTTGGCGCGGCCGACTTGGCGCGGCCAACTTGGCGCGGCCGACTTGGCGCGAGCCATTTTGGCGCAAAGCCAACTTGGCGCAGGGACACTTTGGCGCAAGCCATCTTGGCGCGAGCCATCTTGGCGCGAGTACGTCTGTATATAATATAAAAAATCGTTATTGTTCGTACTGTGGTTGGCACCCCGTTATTTATGTCAAGTGTAGGGAACCAAATACACAATTTCATCCGCACAAATTCCAGTAACTAAATGATCCACGGAGCAAGAAGTTCCACGTTTAGGAGTATGTTTATAATGGGGTGCCGGGCGCGAAGCGCCCGTGTGTCCATTAAAAAGTCGACATTACCCCTCCACGCGTTGGTGACTATAAAAATTAGGTTATGCTAACAACGGATGCAATTTTTGTATATTTATATCTATTTTTCTTGGTGCGAGTTCATTCGCGCCAAGATGGCCCGCGCCAAGATGGCTTGCGCCAAAGTGTCCCTGCGCCAAGTTGGCTTTGCGCCAAAATGTCTCGCGCCAAGTCGGCCGCGCCAAGTTGGCCGCGCCAAGTCGGCCGCGCCGAATTGTCCTAGACCGATTTTCCCGTATGCTTTGTGATTTAAACAAATAAACGTTAAAATTTGATTCAAATTTTGACAACTAATTGACAGACTGTCATAGCCCACTAGATGAAAATCATTTATTAACACCCTGTATCACGTGCATAAAATATCGCAGTAGAAAACAAATTCTATAAAAATATAAAATATGAAAAAAGTGCTCACACACGTGAAGTAACTTTCTGCACAGGCTTATTTCGAGAATTTCAGAATAAATGCTACCTAAATTAGGACAATTATGGCGTCATCAACATTTTTAAAACAACAATTCTCTTTTAAACGAAAAAACGATCCCAATTGTAGAGGGGAAGCCTTTTAGCTACTTCAGTAATTAAATATTGTATAGCACAATAATTTCTCAATACAGAGCTCTGTTGTCACTTAATTTCAATCAAATGGCAACCGAACTCAAAAAAATACTTCCTAAATTTTTAAATGATATTTCTTAATTTCACTTCTTTGTGTAATTATTGCATTTCAACTGGGTGTTTTCGTTTTAACTTTGGATAAATAATACGACTCTAACCTCTGTTGTATTGTCTTATTATTTGTATCTTTTTCAAATCCTGAACAATATTTTGCTGTATTCGATATAACGACCGCATAAGGTACGTTATCGTAAATCATCTGTAACTAGGCAATAAATAAAATTTACCGTGAAAAGATTATGAGCACGGTAGGCACTATATTCGTTGACCAGAAAACAAAAGTATTTGGTGACTCGAATGTATTAGCTAAATGTCTATATATTTTAAAGCAATAGTTCTCCATTGTTGTCGACCATAGTGAAGTAATGTAACATTCGATAAGTTCAAGCAAATAATGTACTTTTCAATGATTTTTTTTATTCGTTTAGTTTTACTGCTATATAATTGCTCAAATATTTCCGTGGCGAATATTCGTTTATAATTAAACTAAACCAGTGTTAAACCGGAACTGAATTACTTAACGCAAAATAGTTTGAAGCAGAATTGTTGGATTCTAGTTAAATTAAACTTTCAGGTGTTTCGAAATGCGAGAGATTTTTAAATATAAGTTTCTGAGAATTTGAACAAATGCGACTAATGCGAGATTCCTTATCGAACTGCATCCATAAAAAGAAAATTTAAACGTTGCAATTCACCTCTGTTGCATTTCACCCTGTCATCCTCAAGCGTGTTTGAAATTCTTAATCGAAGCTTTTACGGAGGATCTCCTGGCACTTGTCCAACTATTTTAAGGTATTTAAAAGATTGAAATTCCTCAGAACAGTTTCAGTATAAAAACTTCCGTTAGAATAATATCATCTTGTTTAACAAAATATTTTTCTAACTATTTTGTGCGGGTTAATACGAGTACAGCTTCCTAAAAAAATCAGTCATGTTTATCGTGGAGCATTTCCATATCAAATTTAACTTTTTCAGTATGTTAAGCTCTGACACATTTATTTTAAAACTAGCGCACAATGCAAAATAGTATTTAATCCAAACACGGCAGTAGCGTTGCGTTAAATATTTTTAAAATAAGTACAAAAGTTTTAGACACAGAATCATTAATGTAAAATTGTACGACCACAATATACACAAGACAGCATCCCGCTTATCTCAGACATAAAGGTCAGTGTTTCTACATTAGAGCAAGATCAGTTTTGTATGTCAAAACACGAAACACAGCAGTAAAACGCATTTAAACAGTCGATGTTGGCATGTTTTTCCACCTTTATCTTTCCATTCTCTTTCAAGAATCACAGCTCTATAAAAACATGATACTGTTTTAAACGCTTTTAAATAATTTCGTAGGAAATAGAAGAACAGCGAGCGTGAGATCAGTGGGTTACAGCGATTTATTTGTATTGAGTAAAAAGGACATGTGGGACGTTTTAAAAGAATATCCTGCAGCTAGAGTTCGTTTGGAAGCTATAGCCGTCAAGAGACTCGAGAAATATAAGAGGGCGCCTCTGGAGAAAGGTAAGTGTTAGACCCAGCCTCTCAATTCCAGGATTGTTCAAGCACTTTCATTACTGTGTAAAGAGTTTTAGCTCATCGATCATCGCGAATCGTGTTAAAGAGTGTTGTTATCTGTTTAAGATTAAGTGGTTGGGTAGTTTTTAAATTTTTTAAGTACTAGAACATTGCGAACCTGTTCTTAACGTAAACAACTTCGACGCAGCATCCACTCCGGCGGTTTTTTTTTATTTCCACAATAAACATAAATATAACAATGACGGAAGTATTGTGCTGTAGGTTACACATTGTTAAATAATTCTATGAAACTTGGAAAATCCTTAGTGTTTTCCTTGCCTCTCCAATTTGGACTTCATGCATAATATAAAATATGTCCCGCAGCTAATGCCGCAATCTACCGTCTGAACAATCTTAGAGTTACATAAAAACAAACCTAGTTCTTTGTTTTTTTATTATAGTAGAACAACAATAAAAAAATCATTACGGTTTTTTACACACACATGCTTCTGATTACTGCAAAGAATATTGATAAAAAGTTCAAGAAAATCTCAATTTATCTTATTTCTAAAAAGACTCCCCGAGGGTTTTCCTGTCTATATAAAGCTCTTATAATCGCTCTCAACCAACCGATCGTTCTGTTCTCTAACAGAGTTTATAAATTCTTGGTATCCGCAAGATAAAACCGTTAATTCCGACTGGGGATTTCTTTAAAATAATGACTTATACTCTTGGACATTTTGGTAAAATCCGCTTTTTAAAAACGTGGTATAGAAGGAACCTACCGAAAGATTAAATAAAGGGGAATATTTTAATACTTTAACATTAATTTGTTGGGAAAAGGGTTCAATTTTAATTTTCAAAAATATTTTTTGTTCTTTTCTATGGATTTTTTTTTTCAATAAATTTTACAATGCTATTTTTTTTGGTCTCTATAAATCCGGCAATAGAGTTGATTTTCCCACGCTAAATGAAATATTCCAATTCTAAATTTTAATACAACACACTACACTTTCAGTGTAAAAAGTAAACAGCAAAAATTTACATTAAGTGTCGTAAAATAGATATTTCAATAATTCTAAATTCAGTAAAAAAATGTAATAGTTATTTACATAATTAGTTATGAAAAGTGGGATATTGTTTGACGAGTCCTAACAGTTTGCCAAAACGACCGAAGGGAGTTTTGCAAGTTAGGCGAGTCAAACAATACCCATTTCATAACGTATTATGTACAAAATTTTATCCGATTTTGTTGAATTTGACCATTTGAATGCGTTTTTAATTTTGTTATCACAAACCTGTATAAATATGACAATTGGGTAAGTAGGCAGTCGTCTGAAAAACAAGTGAATCATTGTTTTGAACCAAAAGTCAAAAGTGACAATTGGCTTTGTAAAGTGAGCGATTCTGACTGTGAATTGCCTTCGGACGTTGAAGAAAGTGCTAATGTAGCATTAAATTCGTTAATATTGGTAAATTAAAAGGCAGGTAAGACGGAGCATACAAAAATTTGAAGAGTGGTGCCAACAATTGCCACAATTAATGAAAAGGTAATGTTGGCCTATTTTGAAAGCACCAAAAGAGCCAGGCCAAATTGTTTTTAAGAATTGTACTTGCACTAATCATTCTTGTATTTAATTTAAATAATAAACCCTAAACACGTATTGCTTTTGAGTTTTTAACTTCCCCGGAGAACCTCCGGGAAGTTATTTCATATCAATTAAACGAGTTATGAAATGAATTCTCATTACGTAACTGAGTTATGAAATGAAGTGACAGTCATGAAAAAATTGACTTTTGACAACTGTCAACAATTTTGAAATAACCTAGCTTTCATAACGAAATTGGATAAAATAAGTTACATAACTCGAATTGAATTTATCGCTTGAGACAGTATTGAACAAATTAATCGGCACTTTAATTTGACACAAAAATTTACTGACTCACACAGTAAGTTGTACTTTTATTGGAAATAAATGCGACTGGGTCAGATTTAGTTCAACCTTTGAAGATAACAACAGTAAATTATTATAGATATATAGTCACCAATTTTTTATTTTCAATATTTCTAAATTTGTTTTTGAGAGACTTTTATTATTAATTTTATATTACTCCTTGTGTATTTTTTTTTCTTGTTTCCCGGGCCCTAGTTGCAATAAGTATTGGCGCTTGATAGTTTCTAACTATAATACGAACAGGGGAATTCCCGTTTAATTTCTCGAAAGTACTAACTATATCTTGCTATCGTGATGATTGTAAAATGTTAACCAAAATTTTCTTTATTTATCTTCTAGACAAAGCAGATATCCAAAGATAACTAAACATTTAATTTAAAAAATTTGAAACCATACGGTGTGTTCCAGCAAAAGTTATGAAATATTTCTACAACTTTTTTTTGAAATTAAGTATTATTAGACGAAAAAATTTCTATAAAAATGCAAATGTTTTGAAAACTGCTGATGAAAAACGCTTACATCTGATATCGTTTCTGCTTTTTTCGTGCAGAATTGAAATCTGTAAAAATATATAGGTGGTTTAACTCTTTAGTCTGTAACTTTTAAATTGGACACATTGATTATTTATTGTTAAATGAGTTTTATTAATTTATTTTAATAGTCTAGGATAAATTCTAATCTTCCATCACCAGAGTCCTGGAATGTTAAAAAAACATTTTTCAGATTTTACAAAAAAATCATATAGAAAACCGTATTTTATTAAATAATAATTAATCACAAGGAACATTAATCGTCATATGTCACTTTATGGTATTTAAGAAAAGGTCTTAAGACTGCGGGAAAATTGTATACGTTCAATTACACCTGAAAGGCTAACTCTCGTTTCCACATTTCCCTCAACATTCCATTTCATAACAGTATTACTTTGAGTTGAATTGTTCATAAACCGATGAATGAACATCATTATACGCTAATCCTGGAGACCTGTTAAATGTATTAAATTTAATTCATCATTTAACCATATTCAGGTAAAATCATAATACCTGTTGGAGCAATAATGACGATAATAATCGATACCTTTTAGGTGCATTTCATTATTATTATTTTTTTTATAGAAACCTTTTAGGTGCAATTTAGTTTTTTTTTTGTTTCTGTATATTAACCAATAAAGGTTTTGGTTGGGTCAAAAAATAAAACTTTGTAAGGGGTATTCTGTTTTTGATGACTAATTTTGTATTATTTTTGAGTGCTAAATATGAAAAATAAGTTTTTCTTGCGACTCATACGATATATTTATTTAGAGAAATAAAATGGTTATAAGACCTAAATATGTCGAGTATAGGGATATTCTCACTATTCTTACGATACAATCATCGCCGTTCTGCAATAGACCCCAACCTTTTACCATTGTACTAGACTTTTGCTAGAGCTAATTTCCTTTACTGTAATCAGTTCCCAGATTGGTAATTAAGGCATGAATATCCTGGAATAAAATATTGACTTAGTTCTACTTCACGACTTTTATAAAAAAAATTCTGATATTCCTGAAACCAGTAACTTGTCATCACGAAATCTAGCTGCTAGCGATTCTGAGGAGTCTTCAAGATAATTTTATTCTCACTTAAAATTCACTGTGAGAAAGAAATCTTTGTTGACTCTACTAGCTCGGATTAAATTTTGGTTCCCCAAAATCATAAGACAATGGGCCCCAGTCCGGAGTTAAGGCATTTTTATATCTCTCAGTGAAGTTATGTTGCAACTGGTTATCACCAAGCCTTTATAGGCGCATAACTTTGTTATTTATCTGCATAATTTTCTATTCTTAGCTATTGTCCAAATCTTGAATTCTTTTTCTCTCCGATCTGTCATAACTGGTACTCTCCATTTTTCCTTGGCCTCCCTTTGTTTCTCCTTTCTTTCGTTTATTAGTAGCCGCTAAGCTTTTGTAGTCTACACCCATTCCCTTGTAATTATTGCATTCAGCTGGATCATCTCTCATTATTTCATACAGCGTTTGTGCATTTATATTCTCCGGCATATTTAATCTATTCTGCAGTTATATTATTTTCCGTCGCACTTTTGTTATTTTTTAATGTTTCTATCATTTCCCTGACTTCTTCTTTGACTAGGCCACTACTTATTATTTCTTCATTATCTTCGGCCACTATTTCATATAGTTCCTCATCAGTATCGCCATTTAATATTTCACTGAAAGAATTCTCTTCAGCTAGTTCGTACTTATCCTTCATCTTCTATAGCATCTTTTGGATACAATCGTCCCCTTTTCTTGAAATGTATGTTTTTTTTTCGTATTTTTTTTCTATTTCGTAATTCTGTTACATCGTGCTGTTTTTGTCTAACCGGTTTTGTTTTACTTTTAACAAGTTTTTAGCTTCAAATTTATTCTTGAAAGGAAGTGACCATTAACTTGGACCACGCAGAAAGAGGGGTGTTATAATTTAACTCCTTTATCTGTAGGTGCGTCTGCCTGTGGTACCGTAGCTCCCAAAAGGAAGATTTCAATACATTTTTTTTTTGTTTGAAAACTAGTTTAATAGGGATGGTTCAAAACTATGCTTGATAATCACTTTCTCAATTTTTAATTTTGAAGCTTTTGTGTATTTGTCTATGGCGTCGTATCTTCCAAACGAGTGAAACGATTTAATCAGGATGATTCTTAGCCATGTTCATGATAATCACTTCAGTCAGCCATTTCAAGACCATCATGTGATAACTTGGTGTAGAAATCAACTCGTTTCACATGAAGGCGGAGATAGCGCGTCGACCATCATAACGAATTTTACCCAATTTCAAATATTTTGAGGGTTTTTTTTTGTGGGATGTTACAAAGTATTAATTAACACATGGTCAGTTTGATTGATATATTTTCCGTTTGATAAGATCCATGTACCTTTAAAGATATCCTTTTTTTAAACTAGTACCCATAATTCTTAGTTGCTTCTCTTCTGAAAATTCTACTATTTTCTTCCCATTGTCGTTAGCATGTTACTGTAAGCTTTGACCTCTCGTCAGTTGCTTAAGCCTGGCCTCCCTCCCTATTTGTCCATTTATGTCTTGGAAGACAACTGGACAAATTAGATATATATTAAATATTAGAACGATTGGAGTAGGTACTACTCCAATCGTTCTAATATTCAATTTTGTATAAGTTTCTTCTGTTTCTTCTTAAAAGTGTCGTTTATATCCTCGATTTTTGCTTCAGTTGGTGAAGTGCAGCTTTCATTTCTAAATACGTCTAAATATACGTCTGGACTGAAATCGGTTTTTATTACTTTCTCTTTTAAATTATTCGTTACCAAATAGTCCACTCCTTATCTTCCTGTTTCTCCCCCGCCACTATATAACCATTCGTTTGTGTTGTTGATGTTTCTTTGACATGTGTTTCTTGTATAACCACCAGAAGGGTCAGATCAATGTTATATGTATTTCTTTGCCTCTTTTATTAAGTTTTGAACTGCTCCTTTTTCATATAAGCCCGCGTACTTCCAAGTTCTCATTACTATTTTTTCTGTCTTAATATAACCCATTCTCATTTTATTAAAATCTTTTCAAGTCCCTATTCTTTGTCATAGTCGTTGTCTTGTTATGGTTGCCTTTTCCCTATTCCAGTTTTTTAGATAATTTCTCTTGCTACTTGAATCTCCATTTCTTATTACTTCTACCAGCTCATCTTTTTCATCCCAAATTCACTGTTTGTCATTAATAAATATTTTCATGTTTGTATCTCATATTAACTTTATTGTCTTTAGTGTTTTCTTTCCTTTCAGAAAGAATTCTTCCCTGAGTCGTAATTAGGTTAGTCTTAAGGTAAACAATTTGATCACTCGGTTTTCTCAAATTCTACCTTTTCGATTTTTTTTTTTCATTTTTTCCAGCTTAACCGCACATATTTGTTTTACGTCCTACTTTCATGACTTTCACTATTTTATAAAAGGTTCTACCTGTTCTTTGATGTGTTTAATAGATCCCTTATCTTCGGTTTCTAATCCAACAATTACAATTTCTTTTTCTTCTTTTTATCTGGTTCCAGTTGTTAATTCTTTAATGGTCGTTTTCAATATACTCTTGTACTTTATTTGGATCAAAAATTGTTTGTTACCTGTTTTAAGGTTCTTAATTTCTTCCGTACATCATTTGTATCAGTTCATTATCGTTTGACATTTCTGTTAAATTTTTATTTGTTAAGAGCTCAAATATCCTGGCCAAGTCTTATCAGTCTTATCACTTCTAGCACTTTTTATATTCGTTCCGATTAGAAATAGGGTGCGTCTGTTCGGAGGTCACAATCCGTTTTACATTTAAATGGTTAACCTCAATTTAAGATTCTATTTATCTAATTCACAATGATTTACCGTACTTGGTGATAGAACTACCTCACTTAACGCACTTTTCAAAATCCGATACAAATTAAACTCGACTCAGGATTTGAAGGAAAATATCATTCGAAACTGATCTAGTAGTGGAACGTAAACTACGTTGATTCTGATTTTTTTTTTAATACTTTGTCATTTAGACATTTAGCTTTTCATACTATTAGCCTTAAATTCTTTCTCTCTTTGTAACGTTGGTTCTTAATTAACCCGGTTTTCTGTTCTGCGTTTTCCCATTCTTATTTTTCTTATTTTGTCTATTTCTATAATATTCTTTTCTTTAATTTTTGATCCGTTGACCTTTTTCACACAATTACACTAGTTATCATTTCGTTTTCTTTGTATAATCAAACTACGTACAATAACATCTTTTCAAAACAAAATAACGAAAATTAAATATTTATTTTAAATTATTTTTTTAATTAAAGAGAATGAGTCTTATAAACATTTAAGCAGGCTGCACATTCGCTGGATATGTGTACTATGTATACAGAAAAAAACAAGTGTCCATTATTCCATATAGAGATGTTTCCAGCGTAAAACATACAGTTCTGTTATAAATAATCAAAAATAAACATACATTTGAAAATGTATAACATAACACTATACCAGTTACTGCACTAGAAAATAACTAGAATAGAAAAAAAAACGAATACATCTACATATACAAAACGAGCACTCCAAATTTTTAAATTTCATTCTTCACAAATATTGTTTTTTTATAAGTCAGTAATTTCGAAAATTATCTGCCTAATAAAATGACCAACAAATCTACAAAAACGAGAAGAAACTGAGGTGTTCATATTACATAAGATATGAAATATTGAGAAAAAATGACATTACCTTAGACATTACTATTAAAATAGCCACTTCCCTAGCTTACTTTCCGGAAGCAATAAATTTGGAATGAACATGGTATTCCCTAGTATTGGTTTTTCTCATTTGCCCCCTTATTCGTTATCCACATACTTACTTATTTAATCCGAATAATAGAGTATCTTGCCGCAAAACTCACATTATTAGATATTTCTAATATTAATGTAAATAGGCAGCAAAATAGCGCAGTGCAAAATAATCTCGCATGCAGTAATTTTATTACATCAACCGCTGTTGTCTGTATAGTATCACGAATAATAATTAACTATGCTGTAACTACAGCCAACGGTATACGCCAAACCTAATAAATGCTGCTACATTAACTTTACAAAAACAGTAATTATCATTTATTTATAAGGTATATACTATGCACTCATGTGTGGCAAAAGTTCTTTCGTCGATTTATTACTAAACTTGATTACGAAATTTCAGTAGCCTTTATAATCCTCGCCACTATTGAGGTGTCTTCCCACAGAATCGTAAATAAAAAAATTATTTGTGGAACGAACCGGTGACGAAGGATTAGCCAGCTTAAAAGACTGATTCGATAGGGCTAGAGATGTTTTATTGGCTTCATATTTTATTATATTTTAACGTTGTTATGGGTAACTCTAACTCTCATGAATCGTAGTTTTTTAACACAAGATTTTCGTTTCAAGTCCCCTGGACAAATTAATTCTTCTTAATCATATACTTATATATTCTATGTATTTAATTAAACGTTGCAAAGCTCCAAATTCGATCAACAACTTCTAGTTGCATACGAAAACTTTTAAATACAAGCTCCCAGAACTTTTAGATTCGTCATTTAGTTACCCTTTAAAATCCAAATCTTATAAATTTTTCCTGCCTTGGATTAGAATCCTTCACTTCCCCCATATTCGCGAGTTTGTGGAATTATTTCATTGTCAATCATTTCTAGATAAGCAACTTTTATTGTGCACTATCTAGATTTAAAATATGCCGAAGTAAAATACCACTAATCTACTTTAATATCACGTAAAATCTCAACAGTTATGCGAGACAAGAAGACTCATTAAAAATAAATCTGAATTAGACTAACAGAACCTTCGCGATGGCTTCCAAACCATTCTCATATGAGCTTAACTTATTATCATAATTGTGCATTCTTCCCATATTACCCAAAGTTTAAACACCACCTACCGTTGCCTTGTTTTATCTACATGAACACAGCACTTAATATAAGCTGAAAGTCTCGTCAACAGCATTTAAATAATTGCCAATTTCATCATGGCAACTAGTGTAAAGTGCTAAAATTTCGGAGAATTTCCGGGTTCCCGTTCAATGAATCGCTCGTCACCTGAATAATTTAATGACGACTGTTTATTTATGCATCTAACTTCCCCGATTTGCGTTGGCACAAGCGAAGTTATATTTACAAAGATCTCTTACGTAGGATTAAATAACTGTTTTGGAAATAAAAATCACATAATTTTAACTACTTGTCAAAGTTCGATATTTTGTTAAAAGTTACGATGTATATTTACAGCCGCCATGGGTCGCAGTCAATCCACGCCTGGACTTGTGGAATCTCGTGGTAAAGTTCCTCTAGAAGATATGTGGGTACCTCCAGCTGTCGTAGGATATACACCAGCTTATCCTAGATCTTTAATGGGATCTCCGCCCAGACCCGTACCAGATAGTCCCCTAGGATCTACAAGCAGCGGCAGAAGTCATCACCATACACCTGCTTCTCATGCAAGATCAGGTAAGCGTAATAATTGAGAACTTTGACACAGTATATGTGAATATATTTAACAAGCAATATGTCTTTTATAGATACGTACGTTGCAAATTAATTATTGTGATAGCATTATTGAACATTGTGGTAGTATTTTTTCTTGAATGAAAAGCTCTAAAAAATGTTGAACCCGCTCATGTCGTGATATCTCCATTAATTTTGCTATTTGCAATAAAATTATTTTCAACTGTACATTCCCGTTGTTGAGACATAACCAACAACTTATTTTTTTAATGGAACAACCTACATATTTTTACATATTCTAATTGGCCTCTTCTTTATAACTGTACTTTATTTTTGAAATTCCATTGCGAAGTTAGCACGTTATTTCCATTTCCATTAAATTTTTAAGCAATGCATGGGTTTGTAAAAAAATTAACAAATTGTTATTTTTAATATCGGTGTTGCAGTGTTTTGTGGAAAGATAAACAAATTCACAGGATTTATTAGGGTATCAATTACGTTATACCTTTTAATGTACAGAATATTTATGTAAAAATTTAGAATACTACGATTTTTAAATAGAGTTCATAGTATTTTAATATTGTTTCTTACCTGCTTTTTATTCTCTTTGTTTTGATCTGTTGGTGTGTGTCTTAAAAAATGAAAACTGGCAAAAACTATTAATTTAGATAAGAAAATTCTTAACAAAAACTAAAGAGAATAAAAAACAGAGTAAGAAATAATTTTATTATAGTATTTAAAAAAAAATCTTTAAACACTCTCTATAGTCAAACTTAACCTGGCAAGAGGACAATTGGAATAACTATATCTATAAAATCCCATATTCCTAGTGAAAAATCAAAAATCATTTTAGTGTGTGCTACTCAATGAACCGTATACAACTTTAACCTTCTTTAACATTTTTTCTATTTGTAATAGGTAGCTAATGAGATATCGTTGCTTTGTGACTCAGCCTATATATACATATATAACCAACGATATGAGTAAAATTAATAGGGAAGGAATATTATTGGACCATAGGTAAACAAACACGTTATTCTATAAATTTTAAGATCATCCTTTTGATCCCAATTCTTATGTGTTAATAGTCTACAATCAACAAAACAATGTTACACAGTGTTTCACTAAAATTTTAAATAAATGTATTTTGCTAGAACAATTATAAAATTTGATTATACAGATTACATGGAAGGCATAAAATGAAAAATTCTAAAATTGTCACACATTTTATTGAGCTGATTTTTCGATACAATGACTGTAACAAAACACTATAGTAGTTACGCTATACGTTTCACAGTGAGATGTATTCGCTTCAGTTTATGTTAGAAACCCCAAAAAAGATAGATAGATTTATTTGATACATGAAAAGTGGAAAGAAATAAAGCCAAAAAGGTACATTGGGGATGTCCCAAACATAGATTTTATACTATTGCCACGGAGTATTGGGATTTATAGCTCCTACATCTCTAAAGCTGCCATAGTTTGTAAAAGATAAATTTGCAGTAGTTGGGGCTGTGAAGAATCTATTACATTCAGATAGATTGCTGTCTACATTTAAATCGCCTTTCAATATTTTTGGTATATCTACATCTGTAACTACAGCAGTGTGTTATATTGAGATTTGTTTAACAAGCTGTTAAATATTTGACAAAATTGATCTGTTCGGCATAATTTTTCTTCAGTGAATTACTGATGTACTACCATTTCTATCAACGAAAGTTATTCTTTTGCAAAGAAAATATGTTTTGTGATGTTTATTGCTGTAGTAAATAATTAGTTCAGAGATGTCTTAAAATACTTCGTTTAGCTTGTCAAAGAATTACATTAACCTACAAACATTTTAGCATCCTAGCTTCAAACGATTTTTTGCACAGTATTTAAAATTTTATTAGAGCTTCCATGTAGTTTTACAGTATCGTTGTTTTTTTTTGCATTAAAAGTAGTAAAGTCAAAATGTGTGCTTTTTATGTGGAAATCTTTATAATTCAGTTTAAAAACTTAACAAGGAAACATTGTTTCACTTATCACCAAAATTTACAAAATTTTATATAATGATGTATTAACAGAGTGTTCTGTATAATGTTTACACAAAACGGTAGGAAATAAAACTTTTAATAATGCCTTATGCGGTACATTAGTTACTTTTTACAATAAACGAATATACAACTATTCGATTCTTATGAAAAATATTTGGGTCCTTTATTTGAAAATTGTACGGTTACTTCCATTTCGTTCGGTTCTCCAAGCCAATCCTTTCGAAATTAGTCACGTTAGAGCCAACGTGTTCAGTGTCGGAACTGTAGGTTTAACCGCAGGGAAAACAAGTTTCTTTGTACACTGGATATGTACAAAATTTTATAGACAATATTCTATTTTTTTATTTATTTAACACCAACATCAACCAACTGGAAATAATACTTATAAAAAAAACATTTTTGAAGAAAAGATCTGATGACATCAACTGATACACACAAGAGAGCTGCCATTTTCACTAACATAATCCAAAGACATTAACACGAAATGATCTATTGAAACCTACTTTTCCCATATTCATAATTTTCGTGTCAGTATATAGCTAAAGGTGTAATACGTTAAAAAAATAGTAAAATAAATTTTGCACGTTTTCTTTTTCACAACTGATCAACAATTCTTTTTTATATCTGTACTTTCACGGTTACTGTGTCGTTTACAAAACTTAAGATTTAAAAAAATGTAAGAAGCTAGTATCTTGTTGTTGATAAAATCCTTTGCATCCCATAAATTCTCATTTTTCGCTACAAACATCTTCGTCCCTAAACAATCTGTTCTTTTTGTCTGAGACTCTTGAAGTTTAATCCAATTTACCGATGACACTTTCTATTCCCACAGTTTAAGATGAAACAAGAAGTTACTGGAAAAGCGTCTGACTAAAATAATGTTTTACTGCACTTACCCCTGTAGATGTATACAACAACTGTTCGCCTCAGAACAATACCGATTTAGTAAAACATATACATTAATAAGGAATTTAAATGCTGCATAGCAATATCTAGACTTTACTTTTTTATTCTCATTGCTTATCAATTTAGATTGAATATTATTTGATTATTTGATAAGATTTTTATGTAAATGTACCCTACCATTTTTAATTGAAATTTAACTCATAAAATCAACGTACCATTTACAGTCATCATTATATCCATCACGTGTTGAAACTACTTCTGAACTAATAGAAGAATTTGCCGCGTCGTCGCCACGGAAATCATCCCGATAACCAATACTATTGACGTTTTCAAAGAGCATTAGTTTGTAGAATCGAAGCGTGCGATTAAGTCAATGGACGTCACTTCGAACATTTGTCGAAAGATTTGACCTCAAGTACTCACACCTGTTGCTTACAGCTGGTTATAAAATGTGACAGAACGTAACTTATAAAACACAACATTTTTTAGGAACGTTTTTTTATATTTCGAAACCATCGCCACACCTTATTTCAGCTAAATCCCATCTATTTGAAAGTGCTATTGCTTATTTCTATACAGTACATTTTTTAAATGACCATAACAATTTCCATGTTAAATTTTACACCCCAGGTTAACGTGAGTTTGAGTAAAAATTAAAAGAAAATTTTTTTATGCGATGTAGTTTCAAACTTCATATATTAATTGCATTATCGGTTATATGTACTACTAATCAAAGAATGCTACTTGAAAAAGTTAAATTATTTGCTTAGTTTTATCGGTATTACAGTAGTCATTTAAAATTTTATTTTCTTTAAAACTTTCAAAATTAGTGTTGCTTTTTTGTTAAAGCTGTCGGCTAAGCTTTTTAATTTGGCGTATTATACAGCTGCAAAAACGTTGAAACCGTAATTGGATATATGAAAGACATAATATCCAACTCAGAAATATAATTTCTGTATAATAGTTATACACTAAATTTATAAGTGGAAGCTGCCTCAACCACATAAACTAAAACACTCATATGCTGTTTGGTAATTACAGAAAAAAAATCTTCTGCTTTAACGAAACTTTCAGAAACATTCATTGTGCCTAAAGGACATTAGAATGATTTACGAGCATTAAAATGTGCAGGTGTTTGTGAATTGTTGTCACAGAATTTTTTGATAAGGATAAAATTTTATTTTCGGATGTTAACATTAATGATAGCGGAAGTACACAGTTTGCATCATGTTGTTTACTGCCACTGCCAATACCAAGTCATTCGAGAAATCTACACTCAGTGTCAAACTAAACTAACGTTTCGTTGAGAATGTTGTAAAATCAAATTATAGAACCATTTTTTGTTGGCGGCTAAAGCCTTCGACATTAATAAACCGAATTCTTTAATATTAAAGGCTAACAAAGAATGATAATTGCTTCTAGCTTCTTACAACATTTCGAACCAAGAGTGTAGGTAATTTGCGTATTGCATTTCGTTTTTTGTTGGTGTTTGTAAGAATTTCAATAAAAATATCACAACCTCCAACAAGGCAAATATTATTTTTTTGTCCAAAATAACATCATTTTTAATTTTTTAGACATATTTTTCATTTTGTGGCAGAAACGATGGAAATGAAGCTAAGTTATTTAGACTAAATCTTCCTCGCCTCCGAAGCACACGAAACTTTTGTTTTGCTATAATACCACCTGTACTGTAAGCTTACACTCTGCGAACAAATGATTGTATCTGGATTTGTACCCTAAAATAAATTAACATTGGGTATATAAAATTAATAACGGAATCCCTATGGACACTTTTAAAAAATGTAATGTAAACCACAACAAAAATGAAAACCAATGTGTGTGAAACCAATACGCAAAATTAATAAACCATATTAGCCGATCATTCGTAATGCATTCAACAAACCCGGTCTGCAAGTTACTCACATTTTAACAGCCTGACATACTGTTAATTGTGGTTTAGGTTGCCACGAATTTGGACATTTCAGTGGCCTGAGTGAACAGTGGCAAATCGTGCTAGAGTGACCCGAGTCAAGAATCAAATGGCAGAATCTACTGGAA